AACGACAAGATTTGGATGAAATTTTGCAAATGTAGCAGACATTACAGCTGACTGCAAAGAAGTAGAATTTTAGTATTTAAGATTTAAGTGGAAACCAGGTATGGTGGCATACAACTTTAATCCTAGCACTTGGGAGGCAGAGGCAGGCCAATCTCTGAGTTTGAGGCCATCTGGTCTACAAAGTTCTAGGATAGCCAGGGCTACACAGAGAAGCCCCTTTTCAAAAAAAATAAATAAAAATAAGAAAACAAAATAAAATAAACCAACAAAAAGATTTAAGTGGGAAAAGTCTGATGAATTAGAAAAACAAATTTATTATCTGAAATATTTCCCTCTCTACTGCTTAAGGTATTAGAAGTTTTAAAAACAATCAAATCAATTTTAATTTTGTAATAAATAAAAAATTAGAATATTTTGTGTTCAAAAGTCAAATGTAATGATTATATATTTACACAGTTATCAAACAAAGCCAAAATTGCCTCAATCAATTATAGTTTTTAAAGGAAAGCTGGCCTGTGACTGACCTCTGACTGTAATATGACAGTAAAGAATACAGCAGTTTTGGTTCAGAGTGTTTATTTTGGATTATGACACTATTAAGATTTTGACATATGCAATCAGAAAGAGTCACAAATTCTAACCTTTTGCTAAATCCACTAAAAAAATCTACATCTGCTTCCTACTTCAACCACATGTTTTTACTTAAAACTTTCTAGTTGCAACTCCTCAGGCCATGTCTAAGTGATTCAGTAGGCTGATGTCTAATTATATATTCAGCAATAAGTCCCTGAGAAACTCCCTGTGGGAAAGACATCTTCCAAAAGATTTCTTTTATATGGTCAATCACAATAACAGAAAGTTGTAACTGCAAAGGATCTTAGGTGTGATTAAAATTGTAAGAGATGTTAGGAAAACTATAAAAAGGCAGATCACATTGAACTGAGAGTTGTTCAGCTTTCTGTTTGACATCTGTTTGCAAATATAGAGTGGTTTAGTAAATGCCAATCTAATGAAATCATCATGTTGACAAGAAAAGAAAAAAGATACTTGTCTGCATTCATGAATGAATCCTTAAATGTGGGAAGATGGTTGAACGACCATCTTACCTGGCAGTGGAACACATACTCTGGGGTAGTCTTTTTGTACTTCATATTCCACACAAGGGCCACACCATCAGGCTCATGAGGAGCCTCTTCATTGTTATTATAGGAAGCCACAAGTAACTCTGGATACTGTTTACAAGAATCAAATAGAAAAAAAAAATCAACAAATAATAAGAACTATTATGTTCTTAACTATCAGATTGTTCTGAAAATTAACTTTATAGTTATACTCACTAAGATGTTAGTCCAAGTTTAAATTAGCACAGTTGATTATTTAAAAATGTTTAAATGTTAAAAACAGTTCATTTAAATATTTAAATTTTATATAAAGTGTTCAGTGGGTAATTAATTAGCAAAATTAGATTTGGGTATAAAGTCCTGAATTTTAATCTAAAAGTAGTGTCAGTTCTTCCTTCCAGTGTACACAAGTCAAAATGATAATGGCAACATTAGAACCATCACTTATTATTATTTTAAATGATACATATTGACTTAATTACAAAAGTCCTAAAACAAAATTATATGCTAATTAGAAAAAGTGAGTTTTGCTATACTTTACCTGGGATGACCAATCCAAACAGCTAACAACTCGATGCTTTGACCAACGCTCATCAAAAAATTGTCGATTTAATGATAGCTTAGCACCTGCTTGAATCTCTCTATTGAAAAAGACAGTGTTATAACTTGTGTCACTCTTCATATTAATATACTTTAGGACTATGGAAGTTATGATCTTAGGAATTAGACATTACCCTTCTTTGTCTTCCAAATCTCTGCCACTATAGTCAAAGAAGATGTTGATCTGCTCAGAAAGGGCTCTTTCTACAATTCTTGTGGAATGGTCAAAGAAACTTAAAAATTCCTCTGAGTGTAAAATTTGTTGCTTTTCTTCTTCAGTTAGTTCATGAGGGGGAGCTGAAAAAAAAACATTGTTTTAAAAGTATGATTTAGGCCAATCAAATTCTGTCAACTTACTATTACAGTTTAGATCAAGAAAGACCACATATTCTTTTTAAATGAGACTCATCTCTTTGATTTAGGGCATTTTATTCTACTTTAGTTCATAAATAATAAACAAGTTTTAAGAGGAAGCAGGGAAAAAAAAACCTTAAATATGTTAGGATACCTTTGTTATCGCTCTCTTCATCTTTTTTAAATGGTTTCTCTTCTTCAGGTTCAACAGGAGGTTTAGGAGTTGTTACATCATCTTCCTCCTCCTCATCTGAACAAGGATGGAACAATAAACAAAGACTAGCTTAATACAAACAGCTGCAATCCTGAGGCAGTGTCTCAGAGCATCACAACCCCCTCAAGGTGAAACAGACCACTATACAGACTGTGTACAAACAATGGGAACTTTACCAGTACCAACTTGATGAATGGAATGAGAACTCTAGATTTTTAGAGATACCAATGATACCTCATCAAGTTATCCTAAATTCTGTAACTATGTAAAACACGAGTAAGATATGTAAGGAGGACAAATTCTCGTGGAAGTCTTTAAAAGCTTACAAGCATTACTATTCTAGACAGAACATGTGACTCCCACATAGTTCTGTAGAGCATGCTGACACATTAATGCTACCGAATGAAGAAAATCAAATGTCTGAAACAGCCCACAGAGCTAGCTGCTTACTTGTGATCTGAAACCATCAGTGTCTGATGGGTCTTCCTAGGACATAACGATGCTTACATTAACTCTCAGGTTGCTATTTGAGAGGCAGATTTTAAAGATAATAGCTTTGAGATCACATTTTCTATTCTGTCATTTTAAATGCAAGTCTCATTACCTATCACTGTATGATGTGGCAATAGCACTTAAAACAGTTTTCTTTAATTTTAATAAAAATATTCGGAAATATATAATGCTTATAAAACTTAAAAATAATCAAATCTCATAAATCCCCAAACCAGCACATAGCTTAAAATAATTTATTTAAAAATGTTATAGTATATATAACCCTGTCTACCATCTCTTTTAGCTACAAACCGAGGTAGATTTCATGAAGAAAAGCATGTATTTTTATTGCCTAAGCACATCTTAGTTGTCTATTAGGGAATGGTAGCAGGCATCTGCAACAGAGTTCGTCTCAAGTAATGAAAGCCTATTCAATAAAGGGACTTTCCTTGTCTGTTATAGTCATTTCCCTGACCCATGTACAAAATGATCTAAAACACATACACATACAACCTACACAAAAGAACGGTCAAGGATGGGAACCAGCTGCCAAGTCACGGTCCCAGCAGTCAGACCAGCTGACTAGATAGCAGTAACCAGATGGCACTGCTGGGATTGTGTCTTTCTGCTGCAAGGTGGCAAGGGGATGGCATAACATTCTTCCGCTTGACTGCTTCCAATCCTGTGTCTCTCCCCAATGGTGAGCCTCTGCAATTACTCACACTCCAGGAGCCTACAGACAAGCCTTTGCCCTGCAAACAAAACGCAGCTTGTAGGCCACACCAGCTGCCAAACCACACACAGTGTTAGATTTAGAGAGCTAAGAAAATCCTTCCAACTCTATAGTATAAGCAATAAAACATAACTGTACCTGTGCACAGAAAGCTTTAAATGACACTGTATAACGCACACAATGATACAACCTCCAACTTAATCAGAATGATAATGACGTATGCCAATCCTACATTACTTGAAATTGAGCGATTTTTACGTCTGACAAGTTTACAGAACTGGGATAAATGGCATGAGTGATTTCAATATATGCTCATACTTTTGAACCAAATGGTGAAGGTTAAAATTTTTCCTTTCAAGGGCCTCAATCAGCCACAAAGGAAAACAGTAATCACTGTCTTTTCAGCCAGCCCAACCGCATTTGTCAGCCCTTTCTCCGTCAATGCAGCCAGAGCAATCAACCTGCCAAACATTCAGAATGGAAAAACAATCTGAAAATACAGGGTATAATGCACCTGCCAGTGAAAATGGCCATTTCAAGAAAAGCTAGTGATCTCAGTGACCCTGCTGAGGAGGCGGTGGCGCAAAGGGGAAAGAACACGCTGAAGAATTCATAGTGATCGCCACTCTTCTGCACACTGACACTTCCTTACAAAGCATGCCAATTATAGCTTTTGTGCTACTTAAAAAATGAAAGCTTTTTTTGGGGCAAAATAATCACATAGAGAAACAGAAAGACACTACTCCTTCTTAGATGAATTCTCATACACAAAGGGTTATTAATCTGCAAACTGTGTCTGATGGTGACTCTACCTGTACTGTTCCAACATTAGGATGTGACTGCCATAATCTGCAGGGATACACCAATGAAATAATTTAATTAATTTACTTATAAGCTGACTTCTAGAATAACAGGAGATCCTATTTTCATGAAAAATTTGGTATAAGTGCTGCTCCCACAGCACTGTGGGTTCCTTTCTCTCTTTCTTATATTTAGTGTGAGAAAAGAACGTAGCTCGGTTTTTGCTAATACTATCAGCTTTCCTAATCAATTCCAGTAATTAGCAGCTTCACTGGATGTAAATTTTACAATTAAGGATGTAGACTTTGAGTCACCCTGGACAAGTCATTCTCACGCCTGGTGAATTATAAATTGAGGCCTCCTGCCTACATCTTCTTCTACCTGTACTCTGTTGTATTACACTACTTCTAACTACCATTTCCAAAGACAGGTGTCAAATTCCTGTCATAATGCATATAATCAGTATATTTAGTGCTAAGTGACCTTCTGATGTGCATATTTAACAGAAAGACTTTTGTTTACAGACACTCTTTCCTTCTGAAATATTAAATGTAGATCAAGTATGTTTGCTGCCGATCTGTGTCTGTCTGTACATAGCATATACTAAGTCATACTACAGCTGGGTGGTTAGCAGCAACTCTATAAACATACCTCTTGGAATTTTATTTTACAATCAATAAGCATACATCCTTTTCTACAATGTTAAATATGGACCTAAAACTGTAATTAGTACTTAAATCACACTTCAGGAAGGTCACTAAACTAATTTTCCAGGAATATAAAAGTAAACAATGGGCTGCTTTAAAAAAAAAAAACCTACAAAGTGAACTATATTTTGTTATAAAGCTTTAGTTAAATATTTACACACACACACACACACACACACACACACACACACACACACTTCTCTGGAGCCAATATGTCTTCTTTCACAGGACCACTGATGTGGCCCCAAATCCAATACCACAGTTGTAAAGATTGTCTCAGATACTCCCTGTTATGTGGTAAGCTATAACATACTTAAAACTGGAAGACTGTAAGTGAACAGGAAGACTGCCGTGCCACATCAGTTTGATGATGAATATTCATTACTCCATGCTAAGTGGTTAACTCCATACTTTCCCTGACAGAGAAGCTAAGGTTACAGACTGAGCAGTAGAAAGTGCAGAGAGATAGCAGTTACTTACAGAATGACACATCTCTTGTCAATGCATGCTAAAACTAGGTTTAATGAACCACTGAATTTTTACTTTGCGTTAACACCAAAATTGTGATGTATTTTGGTGAGATGAAAAGAAAACTGTTCTGTAAATTAAGCTGTACCTAGAGACAACACCAAGGTGTGAAGTTCTGGTTGCTAGAATAGTCAGCAAAGCAGTGGGTTAATCAGTGAAATCATCTGTGAAATGGGTGGCTTCTGTTAAACAGAAGGAAGGTGTCTTCCTAACAGAGTCTCTCTCATTTACATGCCATTCATACTTAAGATATGTTTAAGAAGCCATAAAGTACACTTTTGAATAATTCTACAATAGCCACATTTAAATAGTAATATGCAAGAGCTTAGAATATCCATAATAAACAAACACAGCAATTTATAAATCTATCACTTATAGTTTTCAATATAAAGTTAATAAATCCCATCACTAGTGCATTGATATTCAGGAAATATAATTACTGGCAACCAGTTCACTGTTAGCTTTATATATTGACATATACCCCTTTAAGATGAATTAATATCATGATGAATTCCTAACTTAAATCTGGAAGTTTGTTGCTCATAAAAATGCTTCAACTTACAAAAATTCAACTAATAAATAACCCTGTAAACATCTATCAGCAATACCATTCACTTAAAAATCCAGACCAGACAGGGATAATCTTCTCTTAGTATTTTCTAAATAACCTTAAAATTTATTTATTTACTTATTATTAACTTAATATGTGTATGTATGTGGGTAGGTACATGCCTGGGCCCATGTGTGCCACAGTGCACATGTGGATGCCAGAGAATAACTTGTGGGAGTTAAGTCTACCATGTGGGTCTGGGGATCAAAGTCAGTTATCAGGGTTGGCAGCAAGTATCTTTGCCCACTGAGCCATCTTGCCTACCCCTATACATCCATCTTCTATACCTTCAAATCAAATGGATATTTAAGACAACCTTCAATGAAACAAAGCTGTACCAGTGTATTGATAAGATTCATTCCTTTTTTCTAGGTGGTACACCACTAATCTCAGCACTTAAGAGGCAAAGGCAGGTGAATATCTGAGTTCGAGGCCAGCCAGTTCTACAGAGTGAATTCTAGGATAGCCAGGGCTACACAGAGAAACCCTGTCTTGGGGGGACAAAAAATTCATTCCATTCATTCATTCTTGATTTGCTTTTTTTTTTTCTTTTGCATCCTGAATAGGATCACTTCCTTTTTTTGTTTTTGTTTTTTGTTTTGCGAGACATGGCTTCTCTGTGGCTTTGGAGGCTGTCCTGGAACTAGCTCTTTTAGACCAGGCTGGTCTCGAACTCACAGAGATCCACCTGCCTCTGCCTCCCGAGTGCTGGGATTAAAGGTGTGCACCACCAACGCCCGCTGAATAGGATCACTTCTATTTGCTTAATAATTTGGATTCAACAAGGGAAACAGCTGGCATTTTAATCACAAGTATTTTGAATTTAGATAAAATTTTGGGAGGAAATAAATATTTTAGTTTATGTGTATGACTGTTTTGCCTGTATATGTGTCTGTGCAGCACATATGTGCAGTACCTACAGAGGCCAGAAGAGAGTGTCAGATCCCGCTGGGACTGGAGTTAGACAGTTGTGCTCAATGACAGTGCTGGAAATCAAACTCAGGTCCTCAGAAGAGCAACCAGTGCTATTAACCAGATCTCTCCAGCCTTCTCAACTTAGCTTTTTTAAGTAGAAAATTTGGATTTTATTTTGGCTGAATTGGTATTATTACTAATCCACTTATCTGTGATCTCATTAAATATTACTTTTTTTCTGGGCCATAGT